TATACGGCAGCTGGTGGGACGGGCCGCTGCGATAAGGCTGTCCTAAGGCTGCTGACACCGTGTGAGGAAGAAAGAATTATGGTGACGTGGCTTTCCAAGAGCTCCCTCCCCGCGTGCATACGGCCTGGCACGACGGCAAGGTGCGGGCTTACAAACCAGGTTTTGGTACACAAAGTGGCTATTCCTCTTTTGCCGTGTCATGGCTCGCCTGGATTTTTATGAGGGACGTCGCATGGATTTTAAGGAGGCAGGTGTTTGCTACAGGGAAGAAAATGATCCTAAAGGATCTTTAGGGAGTATAGAGGAAGGGTCAGGAGAGTATATATGACTGATACACCTATGTGACAAGCAGCTGTTAAAACATCTTCACTTTAATTCTGTCCACAGTCTGCCTTCCCTAGGCTTTCTTCAAATTTCCCACCTACCTGAGTAAGGTCTGTGGCTACATCATCGTTTCATAACAGCATTCTCTCTGTTTTGTTTTTATTTCTGTCTAACCTTCCAAAGCCTTCAAAAGTAAGCATGCAAACACACAGAGACAGAATGGTCTGCTCAGGAGTCTCTCTGAACTCAGTGTTATTGAGTGAGTATTTGAGATCTCCTGAAATCAAGTTGCCCTTCCAGCATCTGCCTACAGACACCTGAAGGCCTTGCGTTATTGGCAGTTGTGCTTGCTAATGGCTAGAGAAGGCTGTTTCTTGAGTCTTGCTTTTCTAAAAATCTTGTTCTGCTGTTCTTAAGTCATTGTAAGAAGAAACTTCTCTGTGTATAGGCAGAGCCAAGCAGCTTTAATGCTTTAAAATGTTGCTGCAGTATTTGCCTGGTAAGGTGCAGGTATTTCAGATCAAATGCCATATTCCCATCTGTAGCTTACCGCTTGGTGATCAAGCCTCCTGGTCCTCTGGTTGCCTGCTCTTAGGTCAACTGACCCCACAGTCTCTTCCAAAACTCACTTTAATGACAGAGGACTTGTCTATGGAGGTGGTAGAGCAATGAATCCTACGCTTGGGTCTTAATCTGGCTTTGCCGCTGAAGCTGGTATCCAGGTAGAACTGCTCATGGAAGTTCTGTTTTATTCTAACTGCAAAATAAAACTGATAAAAAAAAAAAAAAAAAGTCCTGTACTAGTTTGAAAAGCTACAAAGGAGAAATAGTAATTTATGCAATTCTTGCTTTCCTTCTTATTGTTGAGGTATGCTGTGGTCTCCCAGCGTGCTGGGGCTATTGTAAGTGCTGTAACCCCTCTGCTGGGTGTGTACTTTCTCTTTGTGTCTGTGTGGGAAAGGTTAGTTCAGGACATGATGTCTGCAGGTGGCCTCTCTCCTTCTGCATTGGATGGTCTGCTTTGGTCCCCTGGATCGGGCCACCAAATGTAGCAGGTTGGTAGTTCATTCTGGCCTGGCTCAGTTCGGTTCCTGCTGGTGAGCGAAGTTTTGTGTGTGTGTGTGATACCCCAGCACTAACAGTGGCACGCTCTGTTTTGGAGGAATCCGCGGGCTGTGCCAGCTGGCTGCCGAGGGACGGCGTCGGGGTGGCTGAGGTCTCGCTTGGGCCTGGCCACGTGCCTCTGCCCCATTGTCGAGGCTGAGGGTTTGGGGAACTGGCGGGCTGTTTGTCAAGGGTGAACAATGCCTTGTCTGTCGGGGATTGCGTTACCGTAAATAACGTTACAATAGCATGAAAAATCCCTTTCAGGTCAACTCCCCCACAAGCGTTCTGGCTGAGCTATTAGCAGCTTCTCCTGCCCCCGCAAGGCCGGCTGAATGGGCAGAGTATTTGGCTGATTTGGGTAATGCTATTCAGTTTTGATGAAAGCAGATAGCAGGGCTTTTATTGTCCAGATTCCTGTTCATGAGCAGGCTATTGCTGGAGCTGCAAAGAGCAAAAATGGATCGAGCTGCATAATATCCTCTAGCTAAAGATTAGCTCCAGTGTCTACAAAACCCTAAGGGAATAGCGCTTAAAATAATAGGGACATTTGAGAGCTTTCTTTACTGTGTTCTTGTCACCACTTCTTGGGATGGAGAACCCAGTGTGCAGATTACATGATGTCACCCTGATGAAGCTAGCATCTTGGTTAATCAGGACTGCTCCATTGAATAGTGGGCACAGTATGGTGGCCAAAACACATGCTTTTACACCATGTCTGCGTGGTCAGATGTGGACAGTCCAGCACTCCAAACAGGGCTTGCTGACTTGAGCTGGGTGCTTCTGATAGTCTGGTGACTTCCAGACAGGAGGTGGCTTGTGTTGGTGGCTTGTGACAGGGAGATGGCAACCCAGCTGCGCAGGCGTGCTTTCTTCTGCTCACCGCTTGAATACAGGTAGAGCTCTGAGCAGGAACTGCAGTGCGGGAGGAGAACGGTGCTACTCGTTGTTCTCGGACACTGGCAAATACCATATGGTGCAGGGACAGCTACAGCAAATCCCTTAACAGACAATTACGGGATAATCTGTATGTAGAGGAAGCTTGTTCCTAAAGTCTTGCCTGCTATGGTTTATAACCTGAGGCATGAGGATTTATATAGTTTATTATTTTTCCTGCCTAATGCAGCAAGTCTCATTATCCCTGTGAAGGTCTGCACCTGTTCTGAGTCCAGCAGGCTGCCGGCACCAGGGGTATCCTGTGGTGGGGAGTTAATTAGGTGTTCTAATTAGAATAAAGGAGAGTGTTTCCTTAGAATAATTTTGCGTACATAGTCCTTTTATATGGCATTTGTACAGGGGAACGAGGCTGCTTTTCTGTTGTAAGATGGAGTAAAGGAGAATATCTGACTAAACTTCTCCATACCACAAATTGTTTTGTGTACTTCTGTCTAACATACCTTTACAATTATTCCCAAGCTTTTTACTCTGTTTGTCTCTAAGACTTTCAAAGACCCCGAGTAACTTTAGCACCCATGCTTTTGCAGACATACCTGTTGAAGGATAGAGTTGAGAAAAACTGGGAAGCGTTCCAGTGGAGCACACGCTGTTGATTTTCATGCAGTGTTGTAACGCCTTTGTTTTTTTCACCCCTGTCCATGGTCAGAGTATTTCAACTGGATGAAGCCTTTAATTGAGCACAATGATTCTCAAGTCTGCATCATGACATGTGTGTCCTTTTTTTTTTCTCTTTGTTGGAGCGTTTTTGTAGACTTTCTACAGTTTTTGCCTATTCTTAGTAATTTCATAGACCTAGCGCAAAGCAGTCATTATTCTGTCTGTGTAGTCTGAATTGTCCTCTGAAGTGGCCAGTTTTATGGATCTTGGCACCCAGACCTTGTATAACTCAGGGCCACACTGATGGTTCATTTCTAGAGGAATAGGTGTGCCCTTCTCAGTTTCTTCTTTTGAGGAGTGAGCCTTTTTTTGTCCTGTAAGGCTTCTCCATATCTCTGTTGCTATGGGAACTTGTGAATTTTGCTTGCAAAAAGAAGGCAATGAATAACAGTTTGGTTCAGCTGAGCTCCTAAATGTAGTCTATATTCAGAGGTTATAGGAGGAAGAGGAATTGGTGTGGTTTTGGGGTTTGTTGGTTGGTTGGTTGATTGGTTTTTGGTGGGGTTCTTTTTTGTTTAATCCAAGAGTCAAGAATTACCTTAGAGGGACTTGTGACTTTGTCAGCTCCTGGAGTGGGGATGAGGAAGAAGAGGAGTTGATATACTTGTGAGGAAAGAGGGAAACTGTTGAAAGGAGAATGAAGCAGCTCCAACGGGCATGCTACGAGAACTCTTCCTGCATAGCACAGGCAGCATGAGTCGGTGGCAGCGAAGCACTGTGTTCCTGACCCTGTCTCTTTTACAGATAACTGACTCCGCTGGGCACATCTTGTATGCCAAGGAGGATGCCACTAAGGGCAAGTTTGCCTTCACCACTGAAGACTATGATATGTTTGAGGCCTGCTTTGAAAGCAAGCTTCCTGTGGGTAAGTGAAGTGAAAGGTCTGTTGGCTGCTTCTAGCTTCTGAACAAGTTAATGTAGATATGTGGATTAGGGGTATGGGTAAAGTGATCTGCAGAGCACTGTTTGACTTTTAAAGCTGATCTTCAGGAGGTTTTAGGCAGTCTGACTGCAGAATATCTGCTATCGGTATTGCATTTGAAGTTAAGTAATCCTCTGTGGCTGTCGTGTAGAGCGCTTGGGTTTCCTCTGAAAGGGGAACAGAGGTCACCACAGTTGCAATAAGTGGCAGTACCGGGGAGCAAACCACACCTCTTTCGCCCTTTTCATGCTTCTCCTATCTTGTGATCAAGCCAGGACAGAGCATGATGCTATCATCTCCAGGACCCTGTCCTTCTCCCCAGCTGACCATCTTTCCCCATTTGGTGGAACGTGATCTCTCCACGAGGTGTGCTTTGCAGCAATCTTGCGTTAGGTTAGCAACTGTTTTCTGGGCTTGTGGGATTTGTGTGTATAGAGAACATGGCCTTGGTTTGCACCCGCAACTGCTCTCTAAGTGGTCAATAAAGGGAAGGGGAAATGAGCAGCACGTCAGCCTTGCATTTGTGCTGCAGGCCTCGTTTCCTGTGAGTGTGACGCATGTGCTGCTGTGAGTGGCTGGGCTCAGCTTCAGGACAAATGTCCTGAAAACAGCCAACACGTGGGCTCTGGTCTCATTTGTGGTGGTGTGAGCACATGCAAGCTCTTTTCACAGTCACTGTCAGACTTCTGCTCCCTGGACCTGGTTCTTCTTAGGTCTTATCCTAAAAGATCCCAGAGTATTTCACAGAGCAGTCACTAGCAGCATCCCTCATATCTGTTGAAAGGCACCCTCTATTTTGCTCTTCTGCTCCATGTATCAGATGCAGATAGTTTGCAAGTTGAAGAGAACTTTCCAGAAAGAGAAGACTATCTTCTTTGCTGGGATTGGGAGGGATCTTGCTGTAACACCTCTTCTATAGTATTTTACAGATAAGACAGTGACCCCAAATGCTCAGGATTTTACTTTTATTTCACTCAAAGGTAGGGCTTCCAAATGCTCCTTGATGCATTGAGACATGCAGGCACTAGTGACTCATCTGGGAGTCACTCACACTATTTACTGTCCAACACCTGGGTATTTGGGAGGTCTCCAGACAGTCCCACAGATCCTTTCATAGCTTCCATGTGATCACACACTGAAGTGGGAAAGGCTTCTTTCTTTAGTTGTGTCTAGACTCTTATTTCAGTGCTTGTGACCACAGGTTTCTTGCCTAGGCTGAGCCCCTTATAGTGCTTTTGATTGTAGCAAATGTTTATTCCCTGGCTCCCTTGTATTGTTGCAAGTTTGTTTTAAAGCTTTCAGTATTGATGAGGATAAAATATTTCAAAGTGTAGTTTCTACCTGGTGACCAGTGGGGCATTGAGGTGCCAAAGTCTAGAGCTATTCCATTGAGCAGCTGGATCCTCTTCTGGAGGCTTTGTCTTTGCAGGCCTCCAAGCTGCCATTTTCGTTTTGGACCCAGACACCTCAGATTCCTTGCTAAAGAGAGATGGTGCATGATGAGTATCTCCAGGTTTCCCATGCCTGTGCTGGTAATCAAGGAGGTATTAAAGTAAGGGAGGTGGCACTGCGAGGCTTGATCGTCTGCAGGACTTGGTTAAGTTATTGTGGAAGAAGTAACTACATCATAAGGAGGTGCCTTGTTTCCTCTATAAGGTCAGCATGGGAATGGGGGAACTGACCGAGTGCTGTTTTATCCTTGTGTTTCTCTTTAAAGGGTTGGTTTTTTTGTTTTTCTTTTTTTCCACAGTCTCATCAAGTAAGTGGTCAGGACTTGTAGTGTGGCAGCCAAGGAGGATGTTGGTGGAGTACTGGAAGAGAAAAACTGTTGGTAGAGGAAGCCCAGAGCCGTTGGGACCTGAAGGGTCTAAACAACTGGGATTTCTCAATCCTTAACCACAGAAATGAGGAAGAGGAAGTGAGAAGCAGATCCTATTTAGAAAGTCCACCTTATCAAGAGTGGAGGAGTTCTTAGGGTGCTTCTTGGAGCTATGGGTGTTTGCATGACAGACTGTTTTTTTTCTCCCCTTGCAGGGTGGAAGGGTCCTGTCTTCCTGACCAGTGTTCTGTTCCCAGGCACTTACTCTCAGGATGTATACTAATCTCTGAGAAGAACAGCCTGGCCTGCAGTACATGCTCCTCTGTAGGGCTCTTCCTGTGTGCTAATCTTTACCTCTTTGCTCCTTCTATAATCCTTCTCTTCCCAAACTTTCTTAGGAGTGTTATGGCTCATTTTTTCTGGGATTCCTGCGGAAAATTTTTTTTACATCCAGTTCAACCATCGTGTTTTTCCACTGACCTTGCAAATTAGGAGCTCCCCTAGTCTCCCAGGAAACAGTTCTGTGCTCATGTGAGATGACCTCTTGAAGACCTCCTGGGCAATGTAGGTATCAGTTTAGTTCAAGATCTCTGGGACTTAACTGTTTTTCTCTTTGTTGCTGATCCAGTCTGCTCTGGTGAGCCCTGGCTGCAGGAGGAGCAGGGCGTTACTGAGGATCTGGTGAGTGTGAAGTTTGCTGTCTGGTGCCTTGGGCTCAGTAAAATTGTAGAAGAGCAGCTTGAGTTTTTCCAGGCCAGTCCCTGACAACTTAACCTCTTGCAGAATGTCTGCTTTCCATCCCTTTGCATCAGCAGCTCTTAAGTTTTCTACTTTCTTACTGGCTCTTGGCAGCTCTCCCTTCCAGCCTGACATATGAATCCTTCCAGTTCTGGTCTCCTTTTCACTGGCCTTTTCATCTTTCTCATCTCTTCCTGGAAGCTCCAGCTGTCCACCCACGTTGCTGTAATTTAGACAACATTAAGAAAAACCTTTCACTGAACTGTGTGCTTTGAATTTTCTTATGCAGCTATTGTTGGCTGTCCTACCTGCCAGTCTCCAGGCATGCTGGTATATGTATGGCATAAGCGGTCAAAACTTGTGGTTGGAGAAAGGAGCACTGGGTGGTTGTATATGGCCTGTCTGTTAAAGAGCAGTGCTGGGATTTGAGTTTGTTTTTACAGTAACCGGTCTTTTAGAAGAAAACCAAAAAATTCCATCCTAATCCTAATTTATCCATTGGGCTCTTACATAGCTGGGTTTGAATTTTGAGCTCCTGTATTCCTCAGGAAATTTAAGGAACAGTTTGTAGTTGATATGGACCATCTTGTCAGTAGGTTATTCCTGCTAGCAGTAGGAAGTGGAGGTGGTTCTACTCTGATGTTGAAGAGCTGTTCAGTGGGTAGAGAGAAAATTTGGGGATGTTGTACTGAAGATCTGGAGTATCTTCCTAGCTCTGACTGGTGTGACCCAGTGTAACCTGTATGTTGAATTTGTGGGCTGCGGGAATGTCCACCTGGCAGTCTCCTAAGACAAAGTGTGAGTATTGGACATGCTCCTGGATAAAGACTCTGAAATTCATAGTATAAGTGAATTCAGACCTTGTGTTTTGCTGGCAGCCAGCTGAGTACAACTGTATGCCCCAAAGTGCTGGGATTTGGGAATGTGTTATGTGCAGACATTTCTTTGGTGGGTGGTATAGTGGAATATGATACTCAGGTCAGGATGTGCTGCATTCTTTAGGGTATCTTGTATGCCTATTCTATATAATTTTTTTTTCCTCTTGTGGATGTTCTCAGATATGACAGTTTGTAACAGTTAAAAGACACTATTAGCCATAGGTGTGTCTAGCTTGGGGGCTACAACCCTAGAAGGTACCTACTGTGCTGTTGAATGCAGCCTTATCCTACTTGCTGTTTGTGCGGCTCCAGCTGGCAGTTCTTTGAAGTGGCATTTTCCTGGCTTCAGAAGCTTTCTGCCATCTTGGAGTTTGCATTAGCAGTGTGGGTCTCGGACATCTGAGCTGTTCTTTCCCTGGAAAGGTATGTTGGTAAAGGGATTGCCTTCGTTTCTGCAGATACTGCAGCATGCAAGGGTCAGTACTCTCCATATGCTGTATTCCTCAATTGGAGCAGCTGACCTTCTGCTCCTTTGAATGTAAAATCATTTACAACCCTGGTAACCTTGACAAGTTGCTGGTGCACTTCCTGCTAGGATGAACGTGGGTTTCCCAGTTGAATATTTGTTCCTCTGGTGACTTGACTTTCACCAGGCTGTCTCATAGCAGCTGGTATTCATCTTGTAATCCTCTGCAGTTTTTACAGTGATTTGCATCCTACACACACTTAACGCTTTTAGTTACAGCTTGTTCTCATTATCTTTGGGAGGCTCTCCTTCAGCCAGAATTTATTGTGAAGTCTCTGTATTTTTAGGCTGGACTGTGCTGCCTCCGCAGTTAGCTGCAGACATGGAGGGAGGGGAGGGATGTTGTGAGTTCTTCCTTAGTGGTGGGGAGAGCTGGTGATTTCCTGGCAGGCTGAATGTTTCGCACAATGGATCCTTTCATTATGCTTCCAGGAACAGGGAGGATGCCGGACCAGCTCGTGATTCTGGATATGAAGCATGGAGTTGAAGCAAAGAACTACGAGGAGGTATGTCCCCTGGCTGCCTGCTCTGCAGGCTCCCCTTTCCCAGCATTCGCGTGATGCCATTTGTAGGTCTGGGGCTCATGATGGGAAGCTGTTTTCCCAGTGGTGATGAAAGCCTGTCTGCAACCTATAATTCCAGTGAAGCTTTGTGTGTTAGGGCAGAAAAAAAAAAAACCAACAAAACAAACCTAAAACCAAACATCAACTAAAATTAATTCCGTACTCTGGGAACTAGAGCCTGATCTGTGAATTTCTTTGCTAGGACAGCGTGACCCAGCTTCTGGGCATAGGCATTGAAGGCAACAAGAGACTGAGATGTGAAGTTTCCCCAGCCCCAGCAGTGGAGGGCATTTTAGGTTAATATCAGATCCTCCTAAAGGTCAAGTTGCGTTGTTACTGTTCTTACCTTCCTGACTGTAAGATGTACTGGCTCAACAGCCCTGAAATGGCACTTGTGCATTTCTAAGAACTGGCAGTGTATCAACGTAAAGGTGTTTGGCAGAGTAGCAGCTGGTGTGAAATGGGCGTTTGGTTTGAAGGTGTGACATTGCAAATAGGCATAAAGCCTAAATATTTCCATCTTAGGAGGACATAGCTTTCTTGGACCCAAGAGCCAGCTGTGTGGAATAGCAGTTGCTTTGTGGCTGCTTTGCGTGCTGAATTTTGGTGGCTGCTAGTATGCTTTTGGGTCACTAGAATTTGGGGTCAGTCAGCCCCCAGCACAGAGCTTGTGCCTGAGAAAATGAGAGTTGTTGGCAAAGAAAGGTTCCTGCAAATGTTTGCTGTGTCCACTGTGCACAACAGCATGGGAGATGCCTTAGGGACGAGAGGGGGTAGCACAGGAGGCTATGTATGGTGCCAGTTAGAAAACAACAAATTTCTGAGATGGGCATGCTGGAGTTTTTACATCCTTTTGAGCTTTGGGCTAGCTGGTCCTGCGTGGCTTAAGTCCATCTAGAGCACATCCTACGTGGAGAGTAAGAAAGTGCTTGGCGTCAGGGAAGAGCAGAGCAATCACTGGGCCAGCTGTCTGGCAGCCAGCTACTGAAGGATAGTAAGATGTTAAAATCTTATGGAATGACCCCTGAAAGCGTAACTCTGAGGATTATAGTGACTACATTTATAGAATCTCTTTAAATACAACCCCACAGCATACTCTGAGTTACATTACTGTAGTGCTACCTAGAAGCATTGTCCCTATGGAGAAAGATTCTCTTATGCCTGTGTATCTACATACTCACTGGTTGTACTGATAGAACTGTCATGGAATAAAAGTAAGTATCCGTTATGCTCATCAGTGTAGTTAGGTCAATGGAAAAGGTCCATGGACAAACGTGGGAAAAGAATTTGGACTTGCAGTCCCACCTTACACCAAACGCAGATCTTGGCAGCACTGGCAAGCATCCTTGGCTTGTGAGGACCTCTCAGAGCGGCAGACTGTGTTGAGTCTTGTCAAGCAGCATGTCTGCAAAGGACTCAAACTGGTTTACTGTTTGTACAGCTGCTATGGATGTTTAGCCACACTGCTTTGCAGCATGTCTTCTTTTTTTTCATCTTCTCTCTCCCTGGGTTGCTGTAGTATTTGTGGGTTTTGACTTGACAGATTGCTGTAAGGCCTCAGAGGGGAGGACTGTTGTTCAGGTTTCTCTCTTGGAATTGCTGCCTTTTTGAGCCTTTTGCTTGTGATGCTTATCTCCTGTAAGGTACCAGTGACCTGTCTTCCCTTCCTGTTCTTTTTATTGAATTGCTGCAAGGAGACTTGATGCAGGGAGTTGAACGAGAGTCACTGATACTGTCCTGCTTGTGCGTGGGAGGAGTGGTGATGTTGAAGTCTGGCTTTGTAAACTTTTATAGATCCAGGCATTCTTGGAGCAGAGCAACTGGAAGAGTGAGCTGGGTTAGAAAACCTAACTGCATGACAGTGTCATACCTTAGTTCTCTGGGGTAGGAAGGAATAACTTTCTCCATTCAGTAAGTAGAAATGAAGGTAGGGAAAAGTGAAAAGACTTTTCAGAGGGCCCCAAGAAGGCCTGGTGATCTAGGTTCCTTTCCAGATCAGCTACTCCTTGTCAATTCTTGGCTATAGTGTGTCTCTTTCTATGCTAGGAAGACAGTTGACAAATCTTTGAGTGGTGCCTGAGAAGTTCAGTGGAGTTGTTGTCTGAGTTGTTCTGGTGGTCCAGATGTTCCTTCTAGGATGATGATGTTCCACCATCACAGATGCTTGGTGGGCTTTTTACAAAATCCTGTGGAACAGCTGTGCATATTGGCTTCACTAGAGATGAAAGAGTTTCCAGGATGTGCATCTCGGAGTATGTGCAGGACTAAAAGTAGCTATCAGATGTTTCTAGCTGCACCTATTAAGAGCAGCTGAAGGGATGCAGGAGGGAGCGGACAAGCCTTGTTTTTTTCCAGTGAAACCTTTGCAGCCTTCTGTGAATGAGGAAGAGTGCCCTCCGGGAAGATAATGGAACCGGTCAAGGCAGGGTTACCTTGTCAGCAGAGCTGCCTGAAACCTCATGTGTCTTACAGACCTGCTGCTCTAGCTGTGTCAGCTCAGTCTGGGCCAGAGGCATGCTTACACTGGTGCTAGTTTTTCAGCAAAGCTCTGCTGGCAGATGTGTGTCCAGGCCTCAAGGTTCGGTCAGTACAACCTATTGGCTAGCAAGCAAACCTCCTGTTTCCTACTCCTCTCGCAAAAGCACTCTGAATTGACACTGCTGTGCTGAGCTGTTTATGCTGAGCTTGCCTCAGCATAAAAATCCTCAGATGACTGCTTGATGGCCTGCTGCTTGCAAGGATACATGTGTCACATGAAGACCCTTCAGTGAAATGGCTGATTAGCTAGTACTGGCCTGATCATGAGCATCTCCTCAGATGGGCTCTGACACCCAGGCAGCTGCCTCTGGAAGCGGTGTTTCAGGGATGCCTGCAGCCTGGGTACCCTGTTGCCTGCCTGTCGGCACCTGGACCACTGAGGGATGCCGAGCTGCGGCTTATGTCTGAGTAACCATGTGTGACAGTGAGACTGGTGGAGAGCTGCAGGTGCTCCATGTGTTTTCTGTAGCTTGCTGTAGTGCGTCTTTTTTCTGCTGCATTACTCAGGGACATTGGCATCTGGCCTTCATGGTGGGGGCCTGTCACTTTTTGGTAATAGTGACAAATTCTAGGTAAGAACTGGAGTTACCCAAACCCTACACTGTAGCAGTGGCAGGAATTGCAGTTACCTTCCTTTGAGTGATGTCCTTGTGTCACAGATTTCACAGAATGTGTAGTCAGGTTACAGCCAGGACTGGGGCAGGGACACATGTTTATTATACATTCAACTTTAATTAGTTGCTGTTGTGGACTGTGCTCTCTAATTGAATTTCCTGTGGATTTTTCTTTTTGGATGCAAGTCTGTGATTTGTAGGACTGTGGGTTGCAGCTTCTGCACAAAAATGACGTCCCATAAAACCAGTTTTTATGAGGGAAGTGTGTTTTTTCTTTCTCTTTCACATTGGCTCAAGGGGAGCCTGTCCCCTGCGTGTTCCAGCAGCGTCACCTGGTGGCCGGAGGCAGATGGAGCACTTTGTAGCTGCGTGGTCCCTACTAAGTGCCTATGTTGTCCTTGAGGTTATCAGTCTAAGTGATAAAAGCCCTGAGCTCCTGTGGGTGTAATCAAACCAGTACTGCTGCGAATCGGGCTGCCCGGGCTTTCTGGGGTGTGTGGCAACAGGTAGCAGAGTGAGCCTTGGTGCTAATACCCTGTGTGTCCGTAGAACATATCGTATGCGTATGTAAGTTAGTCACCTGTATCTCAGTCTGTTACTTCTGTTCCCTGGAGGTTTAGTCATGTGGCAAGCTCTTCTACCCACTCCTCAGAAGCCAACTGTGAATAAGCTAACATTAGGCTGCATAAGGAAGAAATGTGCTTGCATGCGTACTGTGCTCCTCCGTTGTGTAGGAGGGGTAGTAGGAAAGTGTGTTTCAGAGAACAGGTGGGAGAAGTGATAGGTTTTTTTATGCAGTTGTAGTTTCTGGATTGTAGAGGTGTTTCCCTGGGGGAAGGATGTCCCAGATCTGTAGTATGTGAGGAGGAGTGGTTCAAACTGGCACTAAAAAGCCATGTGGGAGCTTTCAGTTTTGGCTCAGTGATTGCCTGACTCTTCTGTTTTCTAGATTGCTAAAGTGGAGAAGTTGAAGCCGCTGGAAGTAGAATTGAGGCGCCTGGAAGATCTTTCAGAGTCCATCGTTAACGACTTTGCCTATATGAAGAAACGAGAAGAGGAGATGAGGGACACGAATGGTAAGAGACTGTGCTCGTTCAGAGGGATGGAGCTCTAAGACCTCTTACTTCTGCTGAGTGTGTTATTAGGACAGCATTTGGAGGTCAAGCAATTGCAGTGGTCTCTGCCTGTTCTCTTTCTAGAAGGGGAAACCTGCTGATACTTCTCTCCTTCTGAAGCAGTCACTGAGTCTTGTGTGTCCCATCTCTAGAAATTTATTTCTGTCTCCATTCCTAATGTGAATTACAGTGTGTCACTTAATGTTGCCCACTAACCACGGTTTCACCTTGTTCCTTCTCATTATCCTTCTCCTTGTTCCCTCTGCTTTTATTCTCAAGTGCTGCTGATGCTTGGGTGCCCTGGCCTTCATGCTGTATGATATCTTGCCTTTGAAGTTTTGCAGGGGTGGGAAGAGAAAGTCCTGGGAAATTTGGCCTCTTGAAGTGCATCCTGTGATGTCAGACTCCCATGCAATGGTTTCTTGTCTGTTTCAGAGTCAACGAACACACGGGTTCTGTACTTCAGCATTTTCTCCATGTGCTGCCTCATCGGACTGGCCACTTGGCAGGTTTTCTACCTGCGTCGCTTCTTCAAGGCTAAGAAACTGATTGAGTAAAGAACGAAGTCCTCCTCCCCCTCCTCTCAGACCCAGCTGGACACCGCTGGGACCCAGCCATGGCCCCCTGGAGCCATCTCACAGATGATACCCACTGACTGGAGCTTTCCAGCAGGAACTTGGACCCTCAAGGGGGAGGGGAGCTTAAACATTGGAGGCAACAGGGGACTTGTGAAATCCTGTTGGATGTTGGGGGTGGGGGAGGTTGTGATGGGTTTGGGGATTCCTGGGGCGTCGATTAAATAAAAAAAGATGTTTCCATGACAGCTGCAGCAAGTTTTTGCGCTGTCTGTTCTCCTTTTATAATCTTGGTTTGATAGTGTCTCCCATCTGTCTGTGACTGTAGTGTTATTCTGAGCCACTTGACCCTGCTGAGCTCTTTAGGTGCCACGCAGCTAGCACCAGGGCAAAGCGGAGGATTCCCTCTTCTGACCAGCTGGGATCTAAGCCTCCTGCAAATGCAGGTGAGTGCAAGGCAATAGGATTCATCATTCCAGCAGGGCCTGAGGACAGAGGGAGGTCCAAGGTTTGGTCCCTGTCGTGGACCTCTGCGTTTCTCCCTGTGGGAGCTGGTGTCTTTGTGCTTGACAGGTCAGGGCACTTGAGCATACAGTGGTTCAGCCTGGAGGAAAGGGAGCCTTGGAAGGAGGGCTTGGGAATGTGTTTGAGTTTGGAAGAGAGACGCCTGCTTTGCTCACATAAACTGTCCAACCTTGGTCCTGCCCTTGCTCCACATGTTTGTCTTGGATTTACCTCTCTTGTTCTGAAGTGATGCAGCAGTTTTTCTGAAAGCCTTGATCAGGGATGGCCTTTTGTGCAGACAGGAGGCCTCAGTCGGATACAGTCACAGAGCAAATAGGAGTAGGTTCTGCTTGGAAACTTGGTCTTACATTGAGCAGGAGACTTTTCTCATCTAACAGCGTGGTGTTTATCCAGCAGGTCGCTGGCTGAATCTTATTTTCTGAGACCTCAAAGCAAGGTGGGCTGCTGCTCAGGTGAAGCATGAGGGGCTGTGCCCTGCTTTGAGGTCTGAGGGTGCAAGGGGTGCTTTGCAGGTTGACAGAGAAGTTGTTGGAAGAATGTGGATGAACTCAAAAAAGCAGTACAGGGCAGGAATAGGCTAATTCTATATCTGGTGGGAGTCTGAACTGTGCCCTCAACAGACCTGTTATTCACCTATGCAGTACTACAGAGAGAACAAGCAGCTTCTCATCATTTCTTAGCCATCCAGATGGCATGATGTTAAATAAGTCAGGCTGGGAAAAAACAGGCAGGTTAACTTCCTGGACTATCTGCTGCAGGTTTTAAGCAGTGATTAATATTCTTTCACCTTCTCTGCATTCCTTCAGAGCAAATGCTTCAGCAGCACAGCATTCTGGTGTCATGTGCCTAGACACTTCTGGCTAGGGAAGGGGTTGTCATGGCCCTGGGCCTGCGCTACCATTTTGAAAAGAAGCATGGTTTTATAATTTCTGACCTGAATCTGATCTATTGCTGGGAAGAAAACTGTTGTCCAGGGTGAGGCAATGGGAAGGAGGATGAAAATATGACCTCCTGTCATCCAAATACATTAGTATTTGTCTACCCTTTGCCATTGCCAAGTTCCTGGACTTGTTAATGCCAATGGCGAGTGCTTAGATTGCTTTTAATTTGTTTCTCTTTTGATAAAGCCATATTAAGAATCCACTCCTCTGCCCTTGCATCCATTTTATCATTGTACGCTTTGGAAAGCTGTTACAGTGCAGAACAGCAATGATGCAACAGGACTGAATTACAGAAGTCGTCTGAAGGTAGTTTTAGGTCCTACAGTTCGAAGCCTGTAGATATGTTAAGGTTTTGCTTTTGTTTTTATATAACTTGAAAAGACAGTACAAGCAAGGGGCATTTCCAGTCTTGTCAGTTTTGATATCCTCTCCCCGTCCTTATCTGAGTACAAAGATGTCTTTATCTTAAAAATGGTGGCGAGGCCTTAAGTTCCCCAGGTGACTGTTACACTGTCATTGTTCTGGTGTTGCATTTTGATCTTTACTGTACTGGTATAATTACTGGGGAGCAAGTGTGGGGTACTGGTATGGATTTACCTGTAATGACTGGTTGGGAGATTTTTGTCAAGTTTCTCAAATAAAATTTCTTTGGGGAAAAACAACCCACCTCAGTTGTCCATGTGAGTCTTGTCTTCTTTATGCATGTTCCTACCGACTGCTGTTTCCTGCAAGGTGACCTGTTGCAGGAAGCAGCAGGTACACAGACGCCCCGCAAGTCTTTGGGTTTATCTAGCAACAGTTAATTTCTAAAGAATTTGAGAATTCTGGAGTTGGGAAAGGTACCGGCTTGCACAGGCTTCTCTGTGGAGGGGAACCAGCACAGCGAGCAAGGTGTCCCTAATACAGGTTACCATTTGTTGCCTTTCTCCCCTCCCTTCCTAATTATATCGCTCTATGCGGAGGAATTTTGAGGCTGCTGGTGAGACAGGGCTGCTGCTCCAGAGTACAAGATCGAGTTTTTCACTGTCAGCTCCCATGTAAAATTTAGTTAATTAAGACAAATGAAATTACTTTCAGTTTTGTGCTTTAGAGGAAATTTTACATTTTTGCAAAGATGACTTGTTCCTATGTGAGTGGCAGATGCTTACTGAAAGAGCATGGTTGGGTATTTACTGAACAGCTATCGAATCTCCTCTGCAGAGCCTGCGAGCCTTTTGTCATAGCAGTAGCCAAGTGAGATATGCCACGTAACAGGAGTGGGGACACATTAAGTACTACATAACTAGTTAGTATTATCAGGGAGAATTTCAAGAAGGGAAATTCCCAGATCTTTGGATAAGGATTAGCCTCTGCAAGTTCTTGCCTGGATTAATATTTGTGTATGTGAAATCGTACAGTTGTTCTCATGCGGTAGGTTGGCAGTGGGTCTGGGCTGTTTCAGAGCACTGCAGATACAGAGCTGGTGTCTTCGTTCCATTTTACTTCTGGGAAATGGGCTAAAGTTGAGCTGGTGCAGATACTTGGGTCTGAGCCCATCTTTGTGTGTGACAGATGCATCACTGGTAAATCTATAATTGCCTGTAGGAAACTGCATCAGACGTTTCCAGCCTCTTCCACCCACTTGTCAATGTGACTAACGATTTAATTATCACACTACTTAACACAGCGCGTGAGCATTCCTAAGTAAGGTATATCTTTGCGTATTACCCCTCCTGCTATGCCAACGTAGGCTGCACTCTGTACAAAGTGCCTGCTGCAGCTGCTGCGTGCGTGCACGCGTAAGGGGATGAGTGCTTTACACACTCCGTTGCTCATTTCTTACAAGCTGCTCAGGTATGTGAGAAATAACCCAAGTGTACAACACCTGTGTTGTCTCCTAACTGGCAGATCAGGGACTTTCAACTCAAACTAGTTTGGCAACTGTTTGACGAGATCATGAGGGGATTCCCGCCTGTGCATTCAGCGAGGTCCTATGGGAGAGGTTTGGGAAAGTAGCGTGGCCTCTCTTCATGCCTGCCAGTTCATGTGATACATTTCTGTCCCTCTCATATCTTTAGTTGTGTCCCTCCGCTGTACTTGTCTTTCAGATGCCTGAGATGGCCTTGCCCTTAGCGAACAAAGTCTCAGGGAAATGAACTTCCCGTATGTTCGAGGTGGCTTGTTGGGAAGGAGAGAGCACAAAGCTGAAATGGCTACATCTTTCACATGAGAAAAAAAGTTGGGCCTGGTGAAGGCTGCAGGAGCTCAGGGTTGGCAGTTTTTTCTGCTGCCCCTTCTCCATCTGAAAAAGTCATCAGGCTTGTGCTGTTGTTCCTGCCCCAAACCAGCATGGTGGTGGTGCGGTGGCTCTGGCAGGCCTGCCTTTCTCTGGGGGAGGTGGAAGGAGCAGAGGATTTAACAAAAGTGCCTGTTGGCATTTCTTGGACCTTTTTGTAAACCTGAAACGGGTGAGCCCAGCCCAAACTCTTACTGCAGCACTAAAATACTTGTATTTGCTCAGTAGTGTTTGCAGGAAGCCTGCTTTATTTTGCGCTGGCAGGAGCTAGGAGTTGCTCTGTTCAGCTGCAGCTGAAGTGACTTAAACTTTCTGCTAAATGGCCATAATTGATGCCTGGTAACTCCTTCTGTTACCAGAGGTCCGTGTGGTTTATCACCTTAAACTTAACGCATTAGCTTCTGCACTTCCAGCTTGCTGACGCAGCCTGCTAGAGGACCTGTGGTCTCCAGCTGTCCATCCCAGTGATCATTGCTATAACTTTTTTTTTTAAGCTCCTGTTTGGAGAAAGCTGCTGTGTCCTGAAGGACCGATCTGACTTGTATTTCAGTTTTTGCAATAAAATGTACATGTTGAATCACTTCCTTTGGGGGCATATTACTCAAAAAAGGCGACAGAACCATGCTCACATTGCTCAGTCTCACTTCTGTGGTTTCCCGTCACTTAATTTCCTTTCCCAGCTGATATTCCTGAGGTACCTTTTCCCTGAGGTTTTAAATCCATTGCATTATGTGATCTTTGCATAAGCTGCACCAGGAGGTTCTGTTGGAATTGTAATGAGATGAACTTTTTTCTCGGTTATCTGGGGGATGCTGTTCCTACAGCTGCCGCAGCCGAGGCAGGCAGAGGGGAGGGCGTGCTTGTGTTTTCCAGCTATATCCCATTGCAGCTCTGGTCTGATCTGCTGCAGAGCCATACCCTCTAGGGTTTTCTCACCCATACCAGCTGCTCAGTCTTTTTTTCCCTCCCAAGTATATTTTGTTTGGATAATCTGCCCCCAGGTGTAAGATATTTCCTATACATATGTAACTGGACTCTCATGGTATTGTCCTCTTAATTATAATTAATCATGTAGATGCCTTGTCATTTCTTCCTTCTGTGGGCTGTTCTTGCCTTGTGTTAGTAACATAATGTACTGTCTTGGCTCTGAAAACCATGAATGAGATATTTGAATTGAGGCCGATACTTGCTATGATTTGGTTTAAATGACAGTGTTCCTACCCTTCTCCAAATTCATCCTTCAGTTATGATTTTGCAAGAGGCAGAATGGCCCATTGCTTCTAGGTGGGGTGATTTCTGTAAATGCTCGAGTAAAAAGTTCAGTGTGAAGTTGGGTGTATAATCTTCAGTCATATTCCGATAAACCTGAGCGGGCAGGGGCTGTTACTGCCTGTAGGGGCACCTTGCTGTGAGAATTACTGCCCTGCTTTTTTGAAATGTAGTACAGGCAATGCTGTGTGGTAGCTAAACCTGATTGTAGCTACTACAGTGATCATTTTATGGAAGAATTTTTGTGATAGTGTAGATAATAATGGGCAAGATAACTGTACTTTTCACATTGGAAAAATGAAGATGGACTTTTTCAATTAGTCTTCTAGTTTTCTATGACTGTTCCAGATTCCTTAATCCCATTTCCATGAGATCTTGCCATCTAGATTTTTTTTCTTTATTATTATTATTTGCCAGATGACATTTTGCCAGGTACTCCCCTTGCAGGGGAGGGAGTGAATGATCCTGAGCAGAACATGCTCCTGCAAGTTCCTCCATGCGTTCCTGCAAGCTCCTTTAATCTAACACTGACATGCTGTCTTTGCTGCTTAGAAGTACCTCAGCTTTCTATGGAAACAGTTACGATGCACAGCAAATAAACTTTGATGGATAAGTTACTTTTAAAATACGTGTGTATAATGCTGAACAGCTCTTTAACCCTCACCGCGTTGCAAGGAACCCTGCTCATTGT